TAATTCTTCATATAAAATCATAAACTTCAACTTTCAGAGTATAAATTGTCCTTGTAAAAATAAAAGCATAAATCTAATTTGATAAATCTATTTATAAACTTGGTATACTTCATATGAACGCATATGATGTCTCTGTGATCGGATTGAAGTCCCACAATGTTTAGATAATTTGTATCTAGCTAATTCTAATCTGAGTAGTTTTGTACTGTAAGAAAAATTTCACACGCACTTCATCGAAGCATTAACTTATTCAACCTGAAGATGACTTAATACAATGTGAATACTGTATAAAAATGACAAAAAATGTTGAAAAAATATATATATTGTAAATTAGTTTCTAAATCTCTGTATTTTGTATTTGACAGTCGATTAGTTTGCTTAAGGGATGATGTATAATGTTGTGAAAAAATTTCAGTTCATATCACTCTACTTAGTAACAGATCACTGATTTTGTAATCTTTAGATTTTTATCTAGGTAGTGGTTTATGCTTAGCTTTTTAATCTCTAAAACCATATATATATATATATATATATATATATATATATATATATATATATATATATATATATATATATATATATATATGGTCAGTTCAAATAAGGGAGAAATAAATGTATAGTAGTAGAATAAATAATGTTTTCCCAACAGTTTATTGAATTTTTATTGATTGTTTACCTGACAGTTTGTATATCTACCAATTTTAACACAAAATTAATATTGTTTCTAACATAACACACAAAGTAAATAGAACGGGGAAATCTTTTAATATTTTGAAAGTAACATTGGGAGCTGAGTGAATTACACTCCAAATTAGTTCCATATACCTAAAATGAGCGTAAGAACAGCTACAACACTTCAAAACATCAACATTCTAATCTCATTGAAATAAAAAAGTGAGTCAAATAAAGTTTAGACTCTGATGAACCAAAGATACATATCAATAATATAAGTCGTTCTCAATATCGAGTGTAGAGACTTTCAGTGCCTTTTTAACTACTAATTCATTAAACAGATACATAGCCTTACTGTGATAGACAAACTGAATCTTAAACGTATACCATTTTTCAAGAGATAATGTGATCAGTTGGATTGTCAATCAATCTCCTTCAATTATTACAACGTATAACATCCTGCTTTCGTCAACACACAAATGTCATTCGGTTGACATTCAGAGTGGCTGATGTCAAACAAATGCTAGTTATTCAAATGAAAAATTAAATAACAATTGCTAGCAGTCTTCTGAAGCCATTTACACTGATTACTTAGACTTTATCAAAGTATTTCAAATATTGAAAATCCGTTTTTGCTATGTTTTGAAAAGCATTGAAAGACTCAGACTTATAAAACAGTAACTTAGCGAGGTTTTAAGTAGAATCATCCAATACACAAAGCAATGGTACAATGAGTCGGGTAAGTAAAAATGATCTTGAAACTGTGTATTAATGGTTGAGTCATTTCCTTTAGGATATAATTAAGATCTCACAAATCAGTGGCATAAAAACAACGAAATTTGCAAAAATAAATATACTATTAATGCTTTTTTCTCTTCGTACACTCGATTTTTTGGTATTCGGAAATGTGTAATGCAACGGTCAACAATGATTATACAAGTGAGTATCAGTGATCTTAAAGGTGAATTTTATTCGTTCGTTCAATTACAAGAAAGATTTTAAAAGAAATTTCCGAATAGATTGATGGATATTTTACTAAGTCGTCGTAAGTCACACCGGAGGTAAATGTTTACAATTTAAAAAGTTCTCTTCTTATCAGTTTGCAGCTGAAAGCGCTCAAAATCATTTAGTTCAACTCTATTAGTCTTGAAGATTAATCTAAACTAAATTTCCATTAGATGTATGTATACTACGGCTATTATCGTTCAGTTCTAAATGATCGAAATCAAGACGTGCATAATTCTTTGTACCTAAATTTGATTAGACCGACAAAACAGTTTTTAATAGAAAAAGTTTCATAGAACCAGACTGTAGTATGAACCAAAAGCTTTTTGGACAATTAAAACAGATTTAGAGATTATGTACACTTTTCTGTGGATGATTAGATAGAGCATTCACGAATCACACAACGATTTAAACGAGGAGGAGAAGTTTGCTACAGTTCATAATAATTCCTAATCCAACAGTTAAATATGACTTCATCCGTTCACTTTACTTTGTAAAATATTTTGCACTGAACAACTCATGTATTAATGCACCTTGGAGATACAGTTTGGTAAAAACTTTAATAGTTAAGAACGTGAAAAGACGAGATTCACGTATATAATTATCGATTGGAAATACTAGCGTGAAAAATCCATTGAGACCAAAATCCTTGGAGATTGACAACAAACAATCATAGAGATAGAAACTTTAATGTACGAGGGCTGTTCTTTAAGGATTGAGAAACATTACAGAGAAATATATAGGTAACAGTTCCAAGAGAGGGAACAAAATGAATAACAAACCCAGCTTTGTAACCGCGTTTAGTCATAAGAGAAAGATCGTAACATGAATAACACACACCATAGTAAGATATATAAATGTACAAATCGATTTTCACTCCAACCTCTCGAAAAAAGTTAGTAGCTGACCTCTAATACAGTAGGGTCTCACTTACGAGTTAATTACCGCTTCTAAGCAGTAATCGGTTTCCAGTATGAAGAAATATTCATAGAATTACTGTAAGCATCTCTAATTACAGGATATTCGTAATCTTAAGCAATTACTACTTGTTGGATATTCCGCTGCCTCAATATCCGTACATGGGTAATTCTGTCGTAACCAATATAAATGATGATGTTGTATCACAATATATAGTATCATTAAAAACAAAACTGAGTCGAAAGACAAGATCTAAGCCATACTCTGAGTTTCGAAACTCAGCACTCAAGTAACTAATGCATAAAAATGCAAGCTAGTTGGCTACAGTATACCATGGACTAATAAACCATTATGTGGAACCATTTGTTTTGATGGTTATACCACAATCAACTGTTTTTCGAAGGATGAAATACTGGTTGCCACATTTTTAAGAAACCACTGGCAAGCCTGATCCATCATGAATATGAGTAACCTTAGATCTCTCGAGTAACACAAAGAAATTAAAAGTGAGTTGTTATTAATGTGATCGGTAAGTTGCAAATGATCGTGTGAAAAACAAAAGAAAGGGTTAAACTAACTAGAAAACCCTTCAGATATTTCCGATACAAAACGCTAACTGTAAACCAACTAACAACTAAACGAAAAAACCACATTATTTGGGATTAACTTACCTTATAATCATAAATTTCTTCACGTTTTAGTGGACTAGAATGCATATCATAAAACCCTTCATAACCCATTGCCATCATTTCAGTCATGTTCGTTTGATATAGATTCAACTTGAAAAAGTCAGGAATTATAAAGTACAACTCCAAATATAATTACACGCTGGCTCAAGAATGACTACATTAGAGGACGAAGTGCTCACCTCAAATAGCTCCGAACTGATTCAGAAATTGCTATTTGTCTCATACGATGGCTTATTGAACTCAGAGAATGTTTTTGATTGGCTAGGAATTTAGCCTTGATAACAAGATAGACCTGTCCCAGTGGCCTTGTGTCCGATTAACCAAACAGCTGTAAAAATACTATGGTCTAAATGATATATCGCTGTCTACATAGTAGTCAGAGCGTACGATACACACACATGAGCAAGAGCATTTAGAAAATTTTTAGTTGAAAATGAATTCACGTGGGACATATTTCAGTCGACTAATCATCCCTAAGACGACTATTACCTGTCTTATTCATGCCTTAGAAATAACAGTAATCCCTCTCCTCTAAATTTTAAAATGACTCACCCTAAAAAGTGACAGTTTAGGCATTAAAAAGGGAAAGTAATAAAGTCTACGGCGAAATTATTACAGAAAATGTGAGTCATTTCCACTCAATTTAAATTACTATGGGCTATAGTCAGTTGACTAAAATTTATATCAAGTGGTCATATTCTATTATATCCATATATAATTTTTAATTATTTTAGTCCCATCTGTAAATACAAGTTAAAAATTGAGCAATAAATCTACTTAACTTTATTTATGAGTTAGGCTAACTTACTTTACAATTAATGGTATGATTTAATTAAGTAAATTTAATATTAAGTTTTTACGCAAGCTTGACATTGATGGCCTTTGGAGTTTCTTAACTGGCTGTTAGACGGTTTCTACTTTTCATTACAGTCATTAAACACACTGCATACATTTATCTTTGAGATACTGTTATGTGTTTTTTTGACGAGTGATTTACTTTCCCTGTTTGGTATATAGAACTAGGGTAATTAGCCAATTAATCATAAAGTTGACTAATTTAGCTTAGTAGTCATTTGAACGTTTTTATTACTACTTCCAAACTATCAGTAAAAGTTTGACGGTCTAAATATTGATATTTCCCAGTTTCATTTCCTTAAATATCTTACATAAATAGATGGAATAGCTCACAATAATGGAATAAATATATCCACCAAATCATAATTGAGTTACATAATCAATCTTTAATTTCGTTCATTCTGTATCACTTATAACTACAATAACAAATTTTTTTTAATCTTCCATTTTAAGAAACCAGATTAATTATTGGTAGATGATGATGTTGCTTAATCTTCCCAAATATACACTAATTAACTGTAATAAAAAAGACTTCTTCAAATTTCTCAAAACCATAAAATGCCACACTATTCGACTGTTGCTAAACTCAGTAATAACACACCTATAAAATTGATTCCCTTCTTTTAGAAAATATTGGAAATATCAAGTAGATGACATATTACTTAATCAAGGAAAGTGAAGAAATACAGTTGATAACATTTTAGAGTGATTCAGTTAGATTATTAAATGATTTACTACTTATTTATTTAATTAGTAGTAATGTGCTTGTGTGAAATCTTGGAGAAACCATATTTACACACATTTGGAGTTACATAAACAGAGATAAGGTTGTCAGTAGTTCTTTGTTAAATTTAGGTTGTTATGTTAGAAATTCATGCCAATATACGGTAATTAGTCTTAATGTACTTGATATTTTTAAATAAAACACAAAATGTTTGTAAATCATGAACTCCCTCTTACCTTCTTTAAGTAACTTAATACTGAATAAATAAATGTAGCTTAAAAACTAACTCCAAATATTTAATACTATCGGTAAAAAGGAATTCTTCATCCACAATACTTTTTTCGGTGAACTTAAGTTTATTTTTTTAAAAAAGGTGATAATCATTTATAAATGACGCTTAAGTGGTTGGAAGCAGTCGTTAAGATACTCTTGGATTTAGGTTTCGTGTTAGTTGGCACTCCTCATTATGGCGTATTTGTAGTCTTCAGGGAATTGATGCTACTTGTGTTACTATTCAGTTTCATAGTTTGAGATATTATCACTAGCTATTCGAGTTGCAACTGACCTCTCATCGACTAAGATATTTATAAGAATTGATCACTGAGTTATAACAAATGTCATATTCATCTAGTCCTTTAATGCTGATCGAATTCTATCTTCCAGGTTTCAATGTTGACATCAGACATCTCAACTTAATGCACACAGTTTTAAATCGCTAAGACTACCGGCTGCATTACAACTTAATTATTAGAGTCCGATCAACACTAAGAAATAAACAAACGTGACATTGGTTACTACTCTACGACCAATCAACTATAAAAGTAAATACGACATATCCATGTATCTACGCCTAAAATTAACACTTCTGTTAAGTAAGGCAGTAAGAGGTGGAAAACGGGAAAATTTCTACGACTTGTATTACCATTAAAAGTGATGTATTTAGACGAAAGTAACAAGAATAAGACAGTTATTAGATGACTAACTCACCTATTATGGTCTAAATTCCGAGTGACCTCATATATGACCAGTCAACATTTATATTTCATTTCCCCCCATATATATATATTCGCCTGTAGCCCTTTTAGGGTTACTGCCAACCCACTTCTGACAGCCAGAGCAACAATTAATTTAAGTACATCGAATGCCTGGACAATGTGGGAGACTGGAAGGACCTATTAAATGGCTGCGTAGATGAGGTGATACAACTTATCCGTTCTCGGAATGAGCGAAACCCATTGATCCCAAACTGGACAGAAAAGATGAGCTTCGAGCGAGGTATTGCTAGGCATTGATCATAAAGAAGAAAACGCTTCGCACACGAAGAGATGTACAGAGGCTGTCCAGAGAAGCACAAAAAGCACTTATAGGATGGAAATCTCATGGATCCAGGATCATCAAAGTATCCTTCGAAATGAAGAAAGAAATAATCGCAATGAATGATATACAGTGCGATGAGCCCATCAATGAGGAAAGGCTGAAGTTGGTCATAGAGAAGTGACCAGGAAAAGACCTGGCCATCTTGATGGGAGATCTAAACGCCAAAGTCGGAATGAACAACACCAGGTATGAAGATATCATGGCTAGACAGATAGGAAGGAAAGAACGAGAATGACGAGAAATTCGCAGACTTAGGTGTCTTCAGCAAAATGGTTATAGGTGATACTATATTCCTTACAAACGAAATCACCAAGCTACACGGGTCTCGCTGGATCATAGAGAACCAGACCGATCATATTTGCATCACAAAGATTTAGACGTGAGAACAGAGAGGGGAGCTAACATAGATTCAGATCACCGGTTGATGGTAGCCAAGATGAACCTAAAGTCAAAGAAACACTGGAAAACTGAAGAAACGGAATTACAAAAGTTTAATACAGATTTGATATATATATCACAGATGATAGAATACTATAAACACTCTATGGTAGAAGACTTATTAAATAAGACGTTTCAAATAAATCACACACGAGATTTTCCCTTTCATCCTTTGAGTTACTAATCAGTCCTTAATCAATAGTTATAAACATCTCAAATCTCATATAGGTTGAGTGAATTTTTGAATGCTGATAAATTATTTGTGAATGAGAATGAAAATATTTCTCAACAAGTCATCTATAACTGAAACTTTTGTGTTCACAATAGCAATGGAAAGCCGTTCATTTTCAGTATAACCCTATATGATGTTGAAAGAGTACATCATTAATCAGTTTGTTTTGTCAATGTTTATCATGAACCATTCTAAAGTTGAAGAAAGTCCACTTATGTTATAATCAACAAAAATTTTATATGAGATTACATAACACCCAACTGCGTCGCAAGACAAGCCCTCACATGGAATCCTCAAGGTCAAAGGAAAAGAGGAAGACCAAAGAACACATTACGCCGGGAAATGGAGATAGACATGAGAAAAATGAACAAGAATTGGATGGAACTAGAAAAGAAGACCTAGGACAGAGTGGGTTGGAGAATGCTGGTCGGCGGCCTATGCTCCATTAAGAGTAACAGGCGTAAGTAAGTAATTGACATAACAAAGTCATATTTTTTTGACTATTAACCCTTCACAATTTTATTTATAAATATTTTCATTGAGAGCCTAAAAGAAGAAAAACAATTTTCTATCGGCTTTTGTTTTTCCTGTGTTCGTTTTTATCATTTCTTGAAAAGACTAAATATCAGTTGATGTGATGTATGAAAAGTTTGCAAGCTACAATGTCTAAATAGGTACGTTTCTTAACTATATATGCTCTCAAAATCTGTTCCAAGTGAATTTTCATAGAAACCCAACCAGTCTAGATACACACCGGAAAAGCAACATTGTAAATCATTTGAAAATTAATCATGTAATTTGTAACACAAAAGCCTATCCAACTTAAAAGTTTACTTCAGCTATAAACGGACTCATCTGCTGCTTGATTTTTACATTGTGCTGATATACCTAATATAAGTGAAATCATACTGCTTGTATCCAATAGTAGTATATTTACGTATTGTTTTACCAGGCAAAATTAATTAACTTTATTTTCATTCAGTGAAGATCAGATTTAAGTTGTTTAATCTTCGTTTTCTAATTGTGAAGATTGTCACCAAATAAACTACTTTCATTAAGGTTGTTTGTAAATTCTTAGACAGTGTTTACAAATAACAAGAGATTGATTAAAAACTATTAGTCATAAACATAAAAACACTTATTTTCAGAAGGAAAGCATATACACTTTCTGTCAATGTTTCAATATGGTTAATTGTTTTTGACGTTTTTCTCTAGCAAAAATGTCTACGTGGTATAATGACTGGATTTTGTTTACCCATTGTTACATGCTGTAAATATAGCATGTGAAACATTATAAATTCACTGAAATCATGAACCACTTAATGCTATACTACCATTGTAAACCTGGAACCGCTGGAATGCCGTCTCATCCTAGTGTGGGACTCATCAGCAATGTATATTCGTGATCACGTACATGGGAATCGAACTCAATACGTTCGGTCTCATGATCGAACTCTCAACCTTTAGACCATTGACCCAGACTCCGGTGGTGTTAATGTCCGACTTCAATCAATCCACAACATTAAGCATCCCATACTGGGGCGAAACGGCGGTTTTGTGCTTTTCAAAGATGGTCTAACATTGGTGTGCTCATGATTTCAGTGTATTTCAACAATATCCACTACCCTATACTGATAATTATGAACCCAGTTTGTAGTTATGACATTTTTGAATAATTCGACCATTTTTTAAAATCTTCATCAGTTAAAATAAAGATTTTTTAAACTTCTAGTTTTCTACAGGATATATCACAGAAGATTATTGTCTACCAAATAATACATAACACTGATCACTTCTTAACACAAAACATTAACTGAATGCTTTAAAATATTACGTTATGCCTTCTCATTACTGATAATAATTCCTTAACCAAAGAATTGAAACTAAAGACTAATTTTGATAACTCAATATCTTGCTGAATCACGGTTACCATTCAATCAATGAAGGTGAATGTCTGACAGTTCTGGGATCTTATTCTACACTTATTAATAAACTACTCTTTCAAACAACTGTCCATAAGTTATTGCAGAATCTAAATTCCATTCCTGTACTCACTTAATCACACTAACATGTATTATAATGCTACTATCACAAAATATGTCGATGTTTGGATATTGTAGAGCTATGATCATTCTGTTCTATAGTTTGTGTTATGTTTTTTATGATAATATATTGACACAGAACATTTTACTATGTTAAGTTCTTATAATTAATAATATTTATCCAGTTGCCCAGAAACTATACTTTAGAATAAATTGAATACTAATAATGAAATCTGACTCGTTCGAAAAAAACTTCACTGCTTAACTTAATAACACTGAATGATGTTGATTACAGATTATAATTATTCTTAATGAAGTCATTTGATAGACGAATTTGTATGAAATTCAAGAAGTGAAATAACACTAAGACATTTAGATGTTTCAAGATAAAAAGAAAAAATTTGGCACACATCTCTTTTAATGTATCAGAATGTTTAAATAATTTGTTGATGTTTTTAGTAGTATATATCAACAAGAGTTCTATAATTATTAGAATGGGGCTTTGCAAATAAAATGGATGAAAGGTTGCGCAAGATCATAGATCGATTAAAGTTTGACATTAACACCGCTGGATGCCTGGCCAGTGGTCTAAAAGTTAAGCGTTTGCGCGCGATACCGACGGTTTTGGGTTCGAGTCCCGTATGCCGAGTCGTTAACGCGCACTGCTGAGGAGTCCCATGCTGGGACGAAACGAGTTCTATAATTATCTTGATAATTCTAAAATTAAAATGAATTTAAAAAAATAAAAGCTTGAGGGAAATCTAGGAGAAAATATAATCTTTGTTTTTTCTGGTAATTACAAATATACAGAAATCGTTAAAATGTTCCTGAACATGCTCAGTACGGTAGTTCATTTAAATATATTTTACATTTGTATAACAACTTTTTGTTTAGAAATGAGATTGTTCGTGAATTTTATAGACTCGATCTTCGTTTTTGTTGTTGGATGATTGATTATATTTCGGAAATATACTCAGACCAAACATCTTGTGATTTGAAGAAGTGAAAGCTGAAATGAATTTGGAAGAAAGCTTGAGATCATCAAACAAAACATGATATAATTTCATAAATTCATAGACTGTTACATTAAGACATACTGATAGATGCGTGCTAGCTTGTTAGAGTCCTTGTGATAACCACAATTAACGGTTGGGGACGTTGAGTCACATAGCTCAGCATTGGTTGGAATAGTATCGGTACAGTTATGGTGTGTGCTACTTATGTCGACATAAGTAGTATATGATGTTAGTCGTAAACAGTAGGTCTGGCAGCAGAGAGACAAGAGGATCAAACAGTAAAGAATGAAACAGGATGCAATTTGTATGAAAACGCAAGAACAATGAAGTATGGGTCATTTTGAGACAATTGGTGGAAATTTTGCAAATTAAGCATTCACTTTATGATTGTTAGATTTTATTAACAAGTCCTGTAATGTTGTATTACATGCATTCGATTGTCCCCACCCGTGTTTTTCTCACTACACAGTTACTATTCATCTTTCTCTAGATCCTATGTTCTAGTACTTTTTTTCATGGATACCTTTCCTTTCTGTCTTTCTGAATTATATTCTTAATATTCAATCTTTCTCATTGTTACACAATCATTTCGGTTCCTTCACTATACACTTTATCAGTTTCATCACCTTGTGCTTATGTCATATGGAAACTTAAGCCAACGTAGAGACTTGCTAAGCTCTATGTTGATTATGATTGGCTCGTTAACTGAAATATATTTATCTCTCAACGATATCTATAGAGGTGGAAACTAGCTAGAATAAACCATCTTATTAAATTTTATTTACAGATTGAAAATGGATTAATATCAATTTTCTAGGTGCAATAAAAAATTTTTTCTACTACACAATAGATTTGGACATTTTCATTTATATTTATTAAATGAAATCCAATTAAATTGATGCAATCATTCATACTTTTTACTCAAAAATAAAAAAGATTTTAATTAAACAAATCCATAGGAGAAAAAAGAAACCCAGTTCATAATGTATAATTTTTATTCATTTAATGATAGTGAATTCAAATAATAATTGAACTATCAATATCATCTAATGTAAACATTATTGTGCCTTACATATCTAAAACTAAAATCTCTAATTATAATCTCTCATAAAATACTGAATATTTTGATATACTATTTAAAAAAATAACATTCAATACTACTCTTTAGTAGTTTCCTTAGTTATCATAAACTTATCTTTTTAAAAAAATTGATAATTGTTTTACTTATGTAAAATCTAGTAGTATATTGAAATTTAAAAAAACATTTTCCATTTTATAATTCATTCAGTCAGTAACAACATAGAACTTTGTACGTACGTACATCAGTTCGTGTTGCCACACCACATTAGCACAGAGATGCAACTGATATTATTCTGTTAATTGATTAACTTTGCATGAATTATTGAATTTTTTTAAACCAATCGAAATACATTAACTATCATTAATTATATATAACGCAATCTTGAAGTTACAATTAATCTTCAGAAAAATATTCTTTCATAAAATATGGACAAGTTTTCGATTTCACTATCGTTTAAGCACATCAATTGTTCAATTATTTTTTTAATGATTTAATTAATTTTCACTGATTGAAATCATTGGTCAATTGAAGCTGGACCACCATGGAAAACCTGGAAGCACTGGACGGCCGTTTCGTCCTAGTATGGGACTTCTCAGCAGTGCGTATCCACAATCCACAAAACCCCTTCAGATTTGATTAATTATAATTTTTTTAAAAAATCATCTTTAGCTTCTTACTGTAAATAATTGTAAATGTTAGTTTATGAATATACATACAGTAATAAATTCATTTTAAAATAATAATTATCTAAATTCAAAGTACATGTATCATTTATCCATATTATTCTGAATCAATTGGATATTAAAGTTCTAGAATAAAAAAATAATCTATATTCACAACTGATTCTTATTGTCTTGAATATTTAATCCTTTTTTTCTTGTTACTTACATATTAATTCATTGGATTGCTACTTTAAACTCAATAGAAAAATTAAGTCCATATTACAAGTAACTAAATTTGCTTACAACCAACAACATCATCATCATTATCGTGATTATTATTATTATTATTATTATTATTATTATTATTAAATATTGATCTTTATGCCTATTCACCAGTTCCTACCTCCTCGATCCATTCTCATTGAATCTTAGATCATAACATAAACAAAATAATAATAATAATAGTAATAGTAATAATAATAAAATGATCATTTAAAATAAACTGAAGAATAAAAGAAATAAATGAAATCTCTGTCACAGTAATATAAATAAATAAATGTAACTTTTTATTATCTTACTTATAAATGAATTATAATTTTGAAATATAAAGAACAAAAAAGGACAGTTAAATCACTTCTTCTTTTCCATATTCTCTATCCTTATTTATTTATTTATTTATTTTCTTTTTCACCGGAAACAATGAAAAGGATGAAGATGGAAGTAGATATTTTTTTTAAAAAAAAACTTGAGTCAAGATGTTAGAAATAAATTTACAGATTTATTTGAATATCTATAAATAAACAAGCATATTTATTACTTCTAATTCAAAAGTATTTGTAAAAGATTTAATCACCTACATTATGAAAACTCTCAATTGTCTGATCGATATTATGTATATAGAATCTTGTACGGAACTACTACTACTACTACTACTACTACTACTACTACTACTACTACTACTACTACTACTACTACTACTACTACTACTACTACTACTACTACTACTACTACTACTACTACTACTACTACTACTACTACTACTACTACTACTACTACTACTACTACTACTACTACTACTACTACTACTACTACTACTACTACTACTACTACTACTACTACTACTACTACTACTACTACTACTACTACTACTACTACTACTACTACTACTACTACTACTACTACTACTACTACTACTACTACTACTACTACTACTACTACTACTACTACTACTACTACTACTACTACTACTACTACTACTACTACTACTACTACTACTACTACTACTACTACTACTACTACTACTACTACTACTACTACTACTACTACTACTACTACTACTACTACTACTACTACTACTACTACTACTACTACTACTACTACTACTACTACTACTACTACTACTACTACTACTACTACTACTACTACTACTACTACTACTACTACTACTACTACTACTACTACTACTACTACTACTACTACTACTACTACTACTACTACTACTACTACTACTACTACTACTACTACTACTACTACTACTACTACTACTACTACTACTACTACTACTACTACTACTACTACTACTACTACTACTACTACTACTACTACTACTACTACTACTACTACTACTACTACTACTACTACTACTACTACTACTACTACTACTACTACTACTACTACTACTACTACTACTACTACTACTACTACTACTACTACTACTACTACTACTACTACTACTACTACTACTACTACTACTACTACTACTACTACTACTACTACTACTACTACTACTACTACTACTACTACTACTACTACTACTACTACTACTACTACTACTACTACTACTACTACTACTACTACTACTACTACTACTACTACTACTACTACTACTACTACTACTACTACTACTACTACTACTACTACTACTACTACTACTACTACTACTACTACTACTACTACTACTACTACTACTACTACTACTACTACTACTACTACTACTACTACTACTACTACTACTACTACTACTACTACTACTACTACTACTACTACTACTACTACTACTACTACTACTACTACTACTACTACTACTACTACTACTACTACTACTACTACTACTACTACTACTACTACTACTACTACTACTACTACTACTACTACTACTACTACTACTACTACTACTACTACTACTACTACTACTACTACTACTACTACTACTACTACTACTACTACTACTACTACTACTACTACTACTACTACTACTACTACTACTACTACTACTACTACTACTACTACTACTACTACTACTACTACTACTACTACTACTACTACTACTACTACTACTACTACTACTACTACTACTACTACTACTACTACTACTACTACTACTACTACTACTACTACTACTACTACTACTACTACTACTACTACTACTACTACTACTACTACTACTACTACTACTACTACTACTACTACTACTACTACTACTACTACTACTACTACTACTACTACTACTACTACTACTACTACTACTACTACTACTACTACTACTACTACTACTACTACTACTACTACTACTACTACTACTACTACTACTACTACTACTACTACTACTACTACTACTACTACTACTACTACTACTACTACTACTACTACTACTACTACTACTACTACTACTACTACTACTACTACTACTACTACTACTACTACTACTACTACTACTACTACTACTACTACTACTACAATAGTGATCGCTACTAGAATTTAAAATGTTTGGTTCAAATTATTCAGTTGTATTTATGTACATTTCTATTATTCTTGATCTTTCTATCAAGAATATCAAATCTCATGCTAATTGTCATTATTAACAATAACTTCACCTTATTGTTGTTTATGTTGGTAACATCCGTTGGTAACATCAATCGTTCATTAATCCCTTAGTCCATTGTCCTTCTTCAGTGATATTCAGACTCATCTTCCAATTACTTTAAAATCTAATGTTGTGTTATATTTTTAAAAATGGAAAATACACTAATATCAGGTCACTGATAAGCTCTTTACAGATTTAAAAGCAATAAATATTGACATAAAATTGTTGTTTTAAGTTATTTGATGGATTTAAATGAAAATTTTCACTAATGGCTGCTGATCTTTATAATAAACTTAGACGTAGTTTTCCATCATGAAATAGTAGTCTGTAAAGATCAAAAGATAACTTTAAAAAATATTTTGGCTATTAATCAATTTGTGAACTTTACTACTTTAGATTCCAAGCTTGACTGTTACATAATAATTTATTTCCATCATTGATTCAACTAAATTCATCCAACTATTTGGTGATCGTAACTTCATGTTGACCAAATATGTATATGAGGTGTGTTTTTGAAATAACAAAATAACAATCATGTTCACACTCCTTACGCCTTAATAACATGTATTGTGTATACAAGATGGTAAGTAGTCCGTATATAATAACGCTTATTATTAGTATATTGCAGTATGATGTGTTAATGTTTTTACACGGTCATTTTTAGTCTTTACAAACTGGCTCTTATAACTACTAGAATATGTTCTATAAATATGCGATTTCTACTGAAATGAATAACTAAATTGCCATTAACTTACAAAATTGAAGCCCTTACTTCTTCTCTCAGTTTCATACATTACTTCAGTGTGTGCCTTAAACTTGTCTGTGTACACCTTCAAACTATCTTTTGTCCAAACATTTCAAAAGGAAATGATAAAGTACATTTTCTAAAACAACATCATTTTTATTGTCTGGTACTTCACTTGCATTCTGTATTCTGTAGTTCTCACATTTACTGTGATCTTTCTTAGGAATGTTGATGAGTTATCCCTCCATCCGGTCTGTTGATTCTTGCTCTTTTTCCTGAATTCTTTCTGAATAGACCACATGATATCTTCGCAATTACCTTAGTATCTGACCTCAGTACTTCAGCTGATGTGCGTCTCGTTCTGTTATTTTACTATTCTTAGTTCTTCTAGCGGACTTGTCTGTTTCTTCTGATGTTGGTGAGATAGCATCTACAGAAAGGTCCATATGTGTTGTTTCAATATCCGGTAGGTTCAGTGGGGCATGTTAGTGTCTTATCCACCTGTGTTGCCGCTCTTGAACCTCAGTGGTTGGTTTGTCTTCTCTATTCCTACCATATTCTTTACCATATTTTACTACTGAATTTTCTGTTGCGTAATATTGTTCTCTAGCATTTCCTTTTATTAAAGCTTTTTCCGCCGCCATTATTAGATCTTCTACATATCTTAGCTCGTCAGCTCTAATTCTTCTCCCTACTCACTTGTTTGCTTTTGTGTATTCGGCCTGTGCTCTGACTCTGTGATCTTGTTCGGTTGTTTCCCATGACAGCTTCCTCCTTTATGAGTTATTCTTGTACGGCTTGGGGTTTGCTGATGAGGACTATCTTGAATTTTATAAAGTATTTAGCAACTCGAAGGAATTATTTAGTGCGGCCGCTTCTTTAGGTCTTGCAGTGACTTGCTTTTATCACGAGAACACGATTGGTTTAATGTAAACAATTATTATTATAACCAATTGTACCTGCGCTTGTTTTAATGTGCTTTTGTTTAACTGTGCTAATGACAGACATTTTGTTCTTCGATTACACTCCATTACTTTTCCGCGGATTGTGACCTCGTACGTTCATACTCCTGCCCGCTCATTCCACTTGTACTTTTTGGCAAGATCTTGGTATTCGTTCGATACCACGAGATCGCCAACGAAATAAATCTGGTTACGTTCAACCTTCGCCTTCTGATTTGTTTGGTACGCGTTTCCTTGTAGTGGTGTTCACAGTCAACCTCGACTAGACACCACGCCACAGTTTTATTTAGCATGTGCATCGTCACGTAATGATATGATTCTATATTACCTCTATCGTTTGTTAGTACATTTTCCATGACCGTTGTAAATATTTTATTCATGCTTTTATAATCTACCTCCATTCATGTAGTGCGATTCATTGAAACTGAAGTACCCTGTGCATTCATTTTTAATAAAAGTCCTTGTACATATGATCATGTACGTAAATCTACCAATATTCTCTATTTTGGTTCCATTCTTCTAACCTACGGTTAGCTCAATGTCAAAGTTACTCATCCCAACCTTGTTGATAAAATCCACCATTACAATGTTTAGATAGTTCCTATAAAAACATCCTATTTAGAAAACTGTAAAAATGAGCATGAACATTTTCAGTCATCGTTCTTATGTGCGTAGCACTGAATAATATTCATTGGAACACTTTCTTTTTTTACTTTGAAAGATGCTCAAATGGAAGGAAGAACAAGTGCATATAGACTGGGAAGAAGGATATCTGACCAAGATAACAAAGAAAGATCTAAGCGAGCGTGGAAACTACAGAGTCACCACAGTATAATAGGTAACAGAAAAAGTTTCAACAGTAATATTGAACCAAAAAACGTTCATTGGGCCCACAGCTTCAAGATCAACAGACCAGAAGTCGCAAGCATTGTTCGTGTACCAACCGAATAATGCTTGACTATGGTTTATTGTTGAACAATCATTTAGAAGTAACACGTTACAACCAAGAATTCCATATGTAGTGGTTGACGGGATTATGTCAACCTATGTATCTCAGAGGAAGCACGGGGTACAATGGGCAGTTCGGAATTAACTAGACGATTTGGACTTCGCAGACGACCTGGTCCTCCTATCCTATACACACGAATAATTGCAGATGACGACAACAAGTGTAGCAGCAGTCTCTGCATCAGTAGGCCTCAACATACATAAGGGAAAAGTCAAGATCCTGAAATACAACACGGAGAACACCGATACAGCCACACTTGATGGAGAAGCTCTCTGGGATAGGAGGATCTGGTGCAGATGTAACGGTAAGGATTGGCAAAGTAAGGATAGCATTGCTACAATTGAAGAACATATGGAACTCAAAACAACTGTCTGCAAGCCAACATCAAAGTCAGAACCTTCAATACGAACGTCAAGACAGTTCTACTGTATGGAGCTGAAGCTTTGGAGAGCTACTACAACCATCACAAAAAAGGTACAGGTATCTGCAAACAATTGTCTACTCAAGATACTCAATAACTGTTGACCGGATAGCATCAGCAACAATCCACAGTGGCAGAGAAAAATCCAAATTCCGACTGAAGAGGAAATTAGGAAAAGACGTCAGAAGTGGATAAGACATACATTGAGTAAACCATCAGACTGGTTCATGGGGCAAGCTCCAACTTGGGATCCTGGAGAGAAGAGGCAAAAATGACCCAAGAATACATTGCGTCGGTAATCAGAAGCAGACATCAAGAGAGTGAATAGCAATTGGAAATAACTAGAAAGGAGAGCCCAAAACAGAGTTAGCTGACGAATCCTGGTGGGTGATATATATTCCCCCGTAACATTTGTGCTCTATAAGCGGAAACCTGTACCATTACCTGGTACTATGACAGGCAGTATTCGTAGAGGGGCTACATCTGATCTCAGACGCAAGCTTAATAATGGTTAAAATTTATAGGTACTGCGTGCTGACATGTTCCCCTATTGAATATGCGTACATAATGGGACAACTTATCCGTTATTTCTATCCGACGATGTTTGAAGCCTTTAGGATTTAGGTATTGATTATTGTACATCGCTATTGACGACTTATGGTATTTTTTTAAACGGTACAATTTAACCATCAAACCCTTTTGAACAATTTTATCATGATATGTAATGAGAATTCTCTTGTTATGGACATTGGCCTACTGGCTAACGTGTCTAGAGAACTCAAAGACCGAATATGTGCAGACACTTTTCAAAAGCTCCAAGTAATATTTTATAGTAGAGTGACATTATTTTTAGAAACGAACCAACCGAGAGCTGTTCACTGTCGATTGTGAAGTGGACAGAGTCCTTAGAAATGAATCTTACATAAGATCAAGACTATATTCTGCGATTGATGCCTGTCAACTGGATTACAAACGAAGTATGAAGATCAGAAACATTCTGTGGAATAAGAAGTTATTATCCTCCTTAAATCAGAAAACACAAAAGCCTCTAGATGAAAGTTTTAGACTCCGAAAGACGAAGTCAAAGCCCACATATGACAGTTTTTGTAATAGTCAACATATGCAGGTTGGTCATTGACATGTGATTATATTCACTTAATTATGCGGTATATTTTATATATAATAATATGTATTCAGGAGGTTTTTACGAACGAAATTAAGTATGTCGAGAATAACTCCCTACCAAGTGGCATTTAAGCTACGAGTAAATCCTGCGAGCTTATTAGCTCTCAAGATTTGGTTTACTTCCGAGAATTCTTTGTCGTGTGTCATACAAATTGATTGTCACCTGTTCAAATCTGTATCATAAGACTTTAGTTAAAATCACTATTTTTTCATTCGTAATTAAAAAACGTAACCAGAAGGAAAACAATGTTTTTTTCTCGTTTTCTAGAGTTTTGTTTACTATATGTCTCTATATAACGTGTTATTGTATAGAAGTTTGAGTTTTCTAATTTTAGGATAACCATCTCAAATACTATGCATGTATTCATTTGGTATTTATGCCCTTTTTATAGGACCCGCTTCTCTGAGGCCTTACAATTGATGTATTCATGGCACTGTCGATTAATGTTGTACAAAATGATTGTTAGATACTGTCGTTGATTCAGGTGTGCCTAATGAGATTTCCAAATAGTGTTTTATCTAGAGTTCATCAATTTCGGTAGAACTAACATGAAATGATTGTGTGCAATAGAATTAAAACCTACTTTTATGAGGTTCTGGAAACTAGGATTTCAATTTTGTTTGTTTTAGACTTTCGTTTGTCCTAAAGTAAAGTCTTTCAAGCGTATTGACATATTCTCTGAACTCTCAGTATTCGTTGCTTGATGTGTGCTCTCAGTGCAACAGTACTGTTTGTCCTTAATACTCAATGATACAAAAAAGTTTCCACAGAGCCGACGACAAAAGATGCTACCGACCAATATGGAACTAGCGTTGACTATAATACTAAAAAAGATTAAGAAAGCTTCAATCATTGACGACTAACTATTTGAACGTCTAAAACCATAAGGTCGCTCTATATTATGGATTTTTTGAAAGTACGTGAGAGCGATTTACTTCCTCATCCGATAGTGGATGTAGATGATTCTCCATGCCACGGATAACCATATAGATGGTAAAAATTCTACAATCAGTCAGAAAACCTATCTGCGAACACAGTCTTTCGGACTCCTTAGATTTTCTGGACTCATTAAACAACGTCAATGTGTCAGGAAAGAAAATGACATCGTCAGATGCCACTTCTCGATTTACAATATTCCGCTCACAAAAACTATTTACTTCTTATGAGGTAATATTGACCTTAACAAGGTTGACATCGGCACATTAAACCTATAGAACACCATCCTTTAATCAACAATCGGTAATTTTTATTTCTACAAGAGATATATGGATATTACATTTACCACTTGTGACGAAAAAAGCCATTTTAATAGAATATTACAAATGTTCAATAATTGTCACCATCTGATTACGTTCGCAAGAGAAGCAGAGATGAACTCGCAATTCCACTTCCTTGATATCCTACTAACAAGAAGATCATATGGGTCCCTAAAATGATCGTTAAACCTGTCTGTTTTGCTATAAAATACTGCATGAAGCGATTACACACAAATACGATTGTACAGCTATCGAAAATGATGTAATCGTAAAGGAACTTGTCTTTGCTAAAGCGTCTTCACTATTTTTATTGAATTTATGAGCTTATTTTGTCTAATTTTTTTTACCAAAGCTGAGAAATAGTAAAATTTCGACCTTGCAATCAGTCGATCTGTTGCTTACAAATTTAAAGGGATATGTCTTAGAGATCATTCTTTCCGCATTTCGTCTACCGTTATGACTTTTTAGCCCATTATAGTAGAAAAATGGGAGTTTTACCTATTCTAGCTTCGAAATTAGCTAGGCTCCTAGAGCTTCATAGAAGGCTACACTGAAGTTGAAAAGCATAATTCATGTGAACCATCATTACCTGCAAACGATTTATTTTTATTGGGAGTCTAAAGTTATTTTATGCAAAAGTAACTGTAGATTATTCTTTCCAAGATGTATGCCAAACTACTGGACATTCTGTACCAATATTTCTTAGACGCAATCATAAACAATAACCAACTCAATAGTTTTAGCACCCATCAGTATAAAATAATTGAAAGCAATCGCTAAATGCTTTTATTTTTACTAAACAACTTCTAGAATATATCTCGTTCAGTTTTAATTTTTCTTCCAACATGCAAAACATTTTATATTTACGTATACTACCACTAAACCTAGTATTAAATATGATGAATCTACACCAGGCCCTCGAATAAAGGGACATTAGACGCTCCGTTGGTTGAGAGATAGTTCCCTAACATTCACAATTATGAGCAATATTTTTTTAATTTTAACTCATCTTAGCCGACTTAATATTATGGTATATCTGTTCGTGATGTCCCACTATCTTTTCACTTGTCCCTTTTATTATCTTTGTATTTTCATACTTGTACAGTATGCAGCAGTTTGAGACTATTTACTTTTATTTGAGACTGTGTCTTATTCTTAATCACTTCTGATGGCTGACAGTCAAGCTAAACAAAATTAATTAAAACACATTAAAGAACTTTCACAAATTCTAAAATATAAGACAATTGTGCAATATCTTTGAGCAACATAGCAAAGTAAACAACAAGACTAAAGGCTTTCGCTTTAAATACTCACGAAAACAAAGACTAGCTAATCAGTTTTGTAAAATATGAAGTATTAAATCAGTGTAGCTCAGGAAAGTTATATGATTTTTGTTTAAAAAAATATGTTAGAAGTTGGCAAATATTGCAACTTCGGTTTACAAATTTTACTGTTTTACCAGAACTATCCGTCGAATACGGTTGTTCAGTCGGCTTCACCAAGTCTAACATCAGACCAACAACTTACAGTGAACATGAAAAGTGGTCAAAAATTAAATACTTCCCGAGATTTCAAACTAGAGAAAAACGAAATTTTTCTGAGTAATTATAATACAAGGTATAAGTCCGAAAGTGTAATTACTAGGCCCAAAGAGCAAGGAAATTTTTTAACCCAGTGGCGTCCTGAATCTGATCCGTTGAGCTGGAGGGACATACAATTTACAACTATTGATAGTGAAGCCAGAGGAAAGAGCAGGTAGGTTAATTCTCGTCAAAATAATTGTGCCAAAGACACGTAATGTGTCTATAACGACACATTTGTCTTATAATTTAGTCTCAGCTGCCTGAAACTGACAGCCCCCTAGTGCCTAAATGCCAGAAAATTGCTACGGAAAATGCACTAAATTAGATATGGGATCAACATCTTATAACTCATGGTTTTACACTTTATAATGCTGATGTTAACTTTAAATAAAATGTACACAAATCCCACTAGTGAGCTTTGTTTGAACGTAGTTTCATCGAATTTCGTGAACGGCTGTCGACCACATAACGTGTCTCGTTTTTTTCAGACAGTGAGCAAAAAACATTGCTACTAACAGTCTTTCTTACTCTGGAAGTTTGCTTCTCTGATATTTGACCTGAAGTTATTTGTTTGCTGAAAAAATCAACTCGTATTTATGCATAGATTAAGTTAGGATTACGTGGAATGTAATGTCAATGACGATATACTGAATATTCGTGCTTACAGACTCCTCAATGATGAAGGTATATAAAAACGCAGACCGGTTCTGTATATCTAAAAACATAAATGTTAATGAGCTAGACAAGCAACGGGAACAGTTTCATAATCTGATCTATCTGCATAACATGTATATTAAAGTATTTATGCATGTATAATCAGTTTAACCAGGGAAAATGTCCAGTTTTCTGTAGTATTTAAGGTTCATTTTACTAATATCGGTCAATGATATATATATATATATATATATATATATATATATATATATATCGCTATCAAAAAGTTACACTTCATTTCAATTTTAATTTCAGGAACCGATTATGTGGAGCATTTAACGCAACATCGTTCCAGCTAATCTATGCACAATAAACTTGGTCTTAATAAATAACTTTCACAGTGAAACATGCTTTCTGTTTTAAACGTTATGAAGCAAAACCCGTTTATTCTACGAAAGACTGTACCTCGGAAAGAAATAATGAAGAATTAGGCAAATATATGTTTCAGCGACGCGTCATCTAACCACATAAAAGAATTATACAAAATGGATAATCATGGTATTTTAAAAAGCTAGAAAGTATACTTGAAACCGCATACACATTTATTTTGTGAGAGTATGGTTCAGCACGTAAAATTCACAGCTACTATACTTGATCTAGTCCTCATATCATTCTTGTTTAACTTCCAGTTATCTGACAATTCCATTTGCAGTTTCCTAATTATAGTAACTTAACTCGACGTTTCTAGTTGCTTTTCACACTATTTTTAATAAACGAACGTTGTTAGCATACATGTTATAGAGTTTAATGTTAAAAACTATACGAATTCACAATTTTTAAAAATTTATGAATGAACTCTGCCAAGAGATGTTTTCACTCAACCAATCTGTCTTGTTATGTGTTTCAACAAGCATTTTCTTTTTTTATCTTGCTATAAATTATTAATTGTCAGGTGGTGGGATTATAATGTAGAAGGTTGGCTATTGAAATTTGAACACAAATCACACGTAATCACTATTTTAAAGCTTTGTAACCACTTATAACGTTTTATGAAATCGGAAAGATTTGACGTAATCAATATATAATTAATCAATTTACTTGTTTAACTTTTGGTGTAGGGATATCGTTAAAAGTAAACTTAACTAGTAACCTATATAATTTCTTATAAACAAAGGAAGAGATTTCATAAAAGTCAAAGATACTCCTGTTTATTTTTCTATTTATATTATCTCAATAATAACAACTCTCTTCAAAGCTTGGACAAAGAAAAGTGGACTGATAGAAAATAATTGTGGAGTTTGTAGTATTTCCATGATTGTCGAATTCACGAACTCATCTGTAATAAACTACTACTGAAAACATGGAAGAAATTGGCAGCCATTCATCCGAGTGTGGGCGTCCTCAGCAGTGTACATCCATGCTCCAATACTTGGGACTCGAATTCAGGACCTTCGGTCTCTCACGCCTTCCAGTTTTGGCCCAGCTCAGTTGGCGTTTTCAACGGCGAAAAAACTATCCTTATGTTGCAGGAATTAGTGAGCAGTAACACTTGTTTGATAGACGTATATAGTTTCTAATTAATTTGGTATGCTAATTGAAAGTTTGTAAATTTCTATTTTGGTTGCATTATTTATTTCTTGAAAATACTAAATTTTGTTGCATGCACGCTAACATGTGACTTTGTTTTGATTAAAACGAGAAAGATCAGTAAACATAAAATGAATCAGGTTAGGAGTTGTGTATATTACATTTATCACACTTTTTTGTGAGAAAACTTAGCTAATATCTATATAGGTAGTTGTAGACTATGTGATTGAAGTCAGAGTGATTTTCCTGACCAACGGTTAGAAACCCAATGATATGATAGACGGTCTCATTTTATGTAAATCCTAACGAAGCATATTGTTAAAGGGATGTGCTAGTGACATTAAATCGCTAAATACAACATAATAGAGAGGAACCAATCTTAAGATAATTTTCGTTCACTTGATTTTTAGTACACTTTTATGTTCAGTAACTAATACAGTGTAAGTTCTATTCATTTGACATTTAATGCTCTTTTATTTGTACTGATTAATTCAATACAAATTTCATTCATTTTAACTTTCAATGTACTTTGATCGTATTAATTGTTTCATTGTGATTTTTCATACAAAAGATATTTATTTAGTTCGATTACTTATTCAACTAACAAAAGCTGAGAGTAACTAGTATGTAGTGATGTGAACTCGAAAGTTAGCTCATTAGCTTTGTGTGTTTCTCAATATAGCTGCTAAATCAACTTGGACTTTTTTCTCTAGTTATAGGACAGGGAAAAAGAGACAATCTAGTTCATCCCTACTGAAGTTGGAATAGCGAATTATTAGCTTAGTGAACAGTCGTATTATATCAGTAAAATACAAAGCGAAATTACACTGAAAACAATACATTTCAACAGATTTAAAATCTACTAACTGACTTGGGATTTATGAGAATGGTAAAATGTATAATAATGACTAGTAATAATCAAAGGACAACTTAAAATTTGAAGTACATAATGATACCATAAACTAATAGTCTTATAAGTGTTTAGTTAGAAATCGTAAAATCAGTTCAATAAAAAATAGCTAGGTCTAACATTTTCTCGTTTTCACAGCTCGTACTAGCTAAAAACCAATACTCTCACTTCAGTCAGGATACATTGTCGGAAATGTAGGTGAAGACTGTTAAGTATTTAACATACTATCACAGTAATATCAAACTATAGAACAGAAGAATGGCGACTAACGGCGCAATTCGATGGATATGTTTCACCCTACTTGTCAAACTGATATGCTTGCAACCACTGAACTCAATGGACAAAGTGTTGGCGTCCAAAGACAGAGGTAATGGAATGAAGTCCTAAATATGACCATCAAAATTGGGATACGGGCATATTCAACTGAAGTGTCCCAAATATCTCCTGAATTCCACTATTAGTTAAAATCAATTTATTCTAAAAAACTTGTATCATGTCTACAGAGAGGTAATCCGCACATATACCAATAAGGACTGATCGAAATTTACTCGTTATCATCAATAAACAGATAATTCAAACCCTTTCTAATGATGTTATAAATCTGAGTCTATACGTGCTTACAATCAGACTGAGTGACTTAATTGTTATACACTAAAATATCTAATGTGTAAACTGATTTCGTCAATATATTTATTCTCGTACTCCATAACATAAACATTACCAGTTATTACTATTATTCAAAGAAAACAATTTATGTATATTTGTCAATAATCACAACTGTACACATTGTCGATTGTTATTCTCGATTTCAATTAAATGGCGCAAATCAAATTACATAATTAGAAATCAAGTTTAAAAGCAAAGGACAGTACAAATCACGATGATCTTTTCAACAGTACAGGTCGAGCTTTGATTGATGTTGAATTTTCATTCTTTCTCCTCTTTTTCTTCTTCTTCCCATTATTGTTATTATTACTTATTATGTAAGAATGTCTTGATTTATGTTGATGAATTAAATTCTTAATTGATTCTCTTTCGGAATTATCAGATATTACCAACAAGTGATCATTGTTGATAGTAAAATTTGTATTTTGGGATGGATTTCCAGAGACAGATTTTTCAGAAGAAATTTTAGTTAATCTACTACCACCAGAGAGTAACATCTTCTTAGGTGGTCCACTTGATTGTATATCAGATGAAGTGGCCAGCTCTAAATTCTTTATTTAAAATAAATAGACAAAATCTATGTTACAATATTAAAAAAGAAAGAAATGCAGAAAGAGTAGAATTTCGAAGTTTTAAGACGATATGAAATCAGTTTTAACCTTCAGATTGTATTCGAAAAATATTGATCTCACTTGACGTACCACTAAAAATGGTCGCGAATTGATCGAAGTTGGAATTATACCATTATATGCCAACCTAGTATTCCCGTCAGTTGAGCAATCACTAAGTGATCCGAAGCTGATGGGCTTCATATCTAATACGGTCGCAAGTGCACACTGCATTGCACACACACAATAGTTACTAACTTACACCAGTCACCCCTGACAAACGATCACAGATCACCCACCAGGATTCGTCAGCTAACTCTGTTTTGGGCTCTCCTTTCTAGTTATTTCCAATTGCTATTCACTCTCTTGATGTCTGCTTCTGATTACCGACGCAATGTATTCTTGGGTCATTTTTGCCTCTTCTCTCCAGGATCCCAAGTTGGAGCTTGCCCCATGAACCAGTCTGATGGTTTACTCAATGTATGTCTTATCCACTTCTGACGTCTTTTCCTAATTTCCTCTTCAGTCGGAATTTGGATTTTTCTCTGCCACTGTGGATTGTTGCTGATGCTATCCGGTCAACAGTTATTGAGTATCTTGAGTAGACAATTGTTTGCAGATACCTGTACCTTTTTTGTGATGGTTGTAGTAGCTCTCCAAAGCTTCAGCTCCATACAGTAGAACTGTCTTGACGTTCGTATTGAAGGTTCTGACTTTGATGTTGGCTTGCAGACAGTTGTTTTGAGTTCCATATGTTCTTCAATTGTAGCAATGCTATCCTTACTTTGCCAATCCTTACCGTTACATCTGCACCAGATCCTCCTATCCCAGAGAGCTTCTCCATCAAGTGTGGCTGTATCGGTGTTCTCCGTGTTGTATTTCAGGATCTTGACTTTTCCCTTATGTATGTTGAGGCCTACTGATGCAGAGACTGCTGCTACACTTGTTGTCGTCATCTGCAATTATTCGTGTGTATAGGATAGGAGGACCAGGTCGTCTGCGAAGTCCAAATCGTCTAGTTAATTCCGAACTGCCCATTGTACCCCGTGCTTCCTCTGAGATACACAGGTTGACATAATATGGTCAACCATTAGAGGGAAGAGATAGGGGGAGAGTAGGCATCCTTGTCTGACTCCGGTCCTCACTTGGAATGCATCTGTCAGCTGTCGTCCGTGCACGACTTTGCAGTGTACTCCATTGTATGAATTCCTGATGAGGTTAACAATATTCTCAGGCAAACCATAGTGTCGAAGATGGTCCCATGAGTTTCTCCTACCCACACTATCAAATGCTTTCTCATAGTCAAGGAGGTTTATGTACAATGATGAATTCCATTGAATTGATCGATCCGTAGTATCGACCGATCCCTACGAAATCCGGCCTGTTGATCTCGAAGCTGAGTGTTCACTGAATTTTTCATCCGGTTCAACAACACTGTTGAAAACATTTCCGGGGCTAGTCTATTTAAGTGTCTCATACTAGGACGAAACAATTTTACCGTGCTCTCTCTCTCAACTCATATCAGTGTGTGATAAATACAACTTACTATATTAGATTATTAAAATCGGCTGTTGGTTGTTTATTAAAGGGATTTTATAATTTCTTGTAGTTGATATTCAGGAATTTTTTTGGTCAATCTGTGTTAGCATACGGGCTGAGCAGATGCTTTAATATTGTTTGTAACTAAAACTTGACCATAGTACCTAGCAGTGAAGTTCAGTAAATTTTGTCTCATTTTGGACCTTAGAGTGATTCAAATTTTTACAAAGAAATAAATCATACCATTTGTTAGCAACATCACCTGTTACCATTAGCCAGGTAAGTGGAGTATATGAGTACCTAAACACCGCAGCTACAGAAAGAAAATCTATGGTTACGAATGAATACCAACTTTACGATCTTAATCAACGAAGTCATTCATGTAGGCCTTTGGACAGCACATTGTACTGGAACTATAAAAATGTCTAATGATATTTCTAACTGATATGGTCTGTTAAATACCATGGATCATAGTTCAAAAAGATTTAGTTGGGAAATCTGATATATATATATATATATAATTACTTGTATTGGTTCATGGAAAGCAGGGGAAGCAAATACACCAACGTTTGTTTCGTAAAATAACTTATTAGATGCTTTACGAAGATTATGTGCTAATCTTGAATATGCGTATATTACGAAAAAGATACCAAATAAAAGAAATCCAAGACTGCCTCCAATAAAAATCGAAGGTGAAATTAAAAGATCTGATCTACAAAGAGGATAAGTTGGAGAGAGATAAACACTTGGTAAAGAAAAAACTAAAATTTATACTCTGCGCGAAAACTTTACCTCTTCTTTTGGTAATAATATAATAAACGATAAATTAAATCTAATTGGACAGTCTCGACAAATATTTTAGCAACCTACATAAAGGATTAGCAGAAGAGATAGGAACTGTAATAAAATAAATTATATAATTCGTTCACTAAGCACAAGTTTACGTATTCAGCCTTAGACTAATCTTTCTTTATGTGTTAAGGCTAGCGATAGCACTTGAAGACGGGATTCAAACCTTGCAACCTGCTGACTGAAAACCGAATGCCGTTTTCAACCACTAATCCATTGATTGTCAGCGGATATGAAAATGTCGAAGTAATAAATAACATTTCGAATAACTGACAGTAATTTCAAAATCATTTGAAAAAGGAAAATTTTGCTACTTTAAGCAGTATGTTGATTCATTTCGATTAAATAAATGCAGCTACTAGTGATTTAATACCACTCTTGGAATCATTTCTAGAAAACTCCGTTTTTATTTAAATAACTAAACAAAACGTACCACCCTCTTCCTCCTATATACATATCAAAAAGCCTCAGAAATAATTGTTTATTTATAATTAGAAAATGGAATGATTATACTCTCAATCATAAAAAACTACAATTTTTAAATTGCTTGACCGAATGATTCGTTATTTAAAACGAATGTTAACAGGGCGGTATTACGATATATATGTAGGGAGAGAGAGAGAGAGCTTGCTATCGTTTGATTTTGCCCTTTAGTCAACCATGAAAACTGATGTTTCGAAATACGATGGTGTACTTGCTTAACAGGAGCAGTCGTACTGGTAAATACATCCGAAAGTAGAGGAACTGGGCACTTTACATCTATTTTCTTAAATTTGCCATTGTGCGGCTGAAAAAAAAAGAACTTAACCTTTCTGCACCATTTTTTGTTCTAAGGGATTTCCTAAACGTTGTATCACTATTCGAACTTCATAAGTCCTAAGAGTAAATAACCCCTGCCTTGAGAACCAAGTATTTGACTAGATTTCAGGTTTGGTCGGAATAGTGTTTATGCTTTATCTAATGTTAATGAATTTATAAAAAAATTCAACAAAGCAAACC